GTAAAACATGATGTTTTGGAACGGTTTTATGGCGACAAATGTGTAAAGTACCGTACTTTGAAGGAAACCATTGCAAAAAGATGCAAGCAGATTCGAAAAACACGGGTTTTGGGTGATTTTGCTGGGTGTCGTCGTCGTGGCTATTTGAAATTCCCTAGCTTGGGAAGCCCCCACGGGGAGGAAAAGTGAAAAAAACACCTATTGGAAGGATCCCGGGGGGGGAAACGGAGACCAGAATTAGCTGGTGTTCTCGAATTTTTTCGACGATTTTTCGGTGTCTGAGCTTAAGAGGGTATTGAAATGAAATTTTGGGTCATTTTGGTATGTCTCCGGCAATGGGAAACGGCCAAAAGTGGAAAAACATTGTAAATTACGATATTTGGAAGGGTTTTTGGATGCCAGAGCATTGAAAACACTGCAAAAACTAATGCTTTGGACCGACTTTATGGCGAAAAAATGTGTAAATTACCGTGTTTTTGACGGGAAACATTGTAAAAACACTATCAAAAACAATGTTTTGGAAGGATTTCTTGTATATATGTTTGAGTTGGCCAGCGGCATTGGAACATGGAAAAATTGAAGAAAACACTGTAAATAGCAGTATTTTCAACGGTTTGGGGAGATCAGGGAATTCGAAACATTGTAAAACATGATGTTTTGGAACGGTTTTATGGCGACAAATGTGTAAATTACCGTACTTTGAAGGAAACCATTGCAAAAAGATGGAAGCAGATTCAAAAAAACACGGGTTTTGGGTGATTTTGCTGGGTGTCGTCGTCGTGGCTATTTGAAATTCCCTAGCTTGGGAAGCCCCCACGGGGGGAAAAGTGAAAATTCCCTAGCTTGGGAAGCCCCCACGGGGGGGAAAGGTGAAAAAAGCACCTACAGTATTGGAAGGATCCCAGGGGGGACATGTTCAAAAAATCTGCAGTGATGCATGTAAATTGCTCTTTGCTGATCTGGTCCTCATGTTCAACACCACCCTTAGCCCCTATCACCGACCAAATAAACCTGCGGTGTGGGCGGCCACCCCACGCGAAGCGGGGTGAATACTCACAACTTCATAGCCCTAGCTGGTGAGTCCCTGCCAGGCAATGGCACGATTGGAGGAGGACCTTCAGAAACGGCAACCTGGATGCCCTAACGACCAGCGGGTTGGCAGGAAATGGGTGACCCCGGGTGGTTTGAACTCCTTTTTCTGACAGTTAAAACTCCACGGTATGGCAATTTGAATTCGGAAATTGATGGAAAATTATGACAAAACCCATGGGATTGTGGGGTATTCGTCTGAAGCGAATTTCTTGGACAAGCACAGACAAGCGTGCGTTGGTGGGTAGAAATGCAAAGACTGAGGGATTTTGGTGGATAAATCTGGATCTTGTTCATCCCAGTGAAGACACAATACCCAAACAAAATCTATGTATTTTGACCAAACGTCACTCCCAGCCTAGAAGAATGTTACCCAATGAAAATTGCTGTATGTTGCTGCACTTTCTTGGTGGGGTGGCTCAAACATTGTCAGAGGGGTTCCACGGGCACTTGAGGTTAGAGGAGCTTCGGACCAGAGAGGTGGAGTTGGACAAGTCCTTGCGTTCCGAACAAACTCGGAAGAACGACTTGGAGGACGAGGCCGACAATGGGATGCAGCTGCGTGTCTCCCAAAAAGTGAGAATAGCGAAAACCATCCCATGGTCCCATGGCTCATGAATGTTCCGAGTAGTTTTCCCCATGACTCAAGAAAGAGGGTATTTCTTTCTTTCGGTGTTTTGATCTGTCACGCCCCTGCAAGCAGATCACAAGATTTAGGTCTCCCATGGTCTCCCAATTTGAGACCAGCCATCAAATAATCCTTTGCAGTCCCCTTGGCGCAGCATGGATCATAGGTGCACTATTGGCGAAGCTGTGGACATGCTCTTCTGAAACGAACAGGTGCCAATCAGAGAGCAACGACATGTTTCAAGAATGTTGGGTTTCTCGGAGAATGCGGGAAAATGGAGCTGATGGACTGATGGATAAAGCTCTTTCGAAGCTGATGGATGCGTCCTGTGAATGGTTGACTCAAAACTACTGGTAATTGGTCGCTTGCCTGTGCGTATGAACTGAGGTGGCCAAAAGACTGAAGTTCCACAGGAGCTGTGTGGCAAGTGTAGCCGCTGGAGTAACTGTGTAGTTGCTTAGCCACCAGGAGGCTGCCAAGAAAGAGGTCGATCTTCAAGTTGAGATGAAGGTGCCCATGTCACTGGAAAAAGAGTGTGGAGATTACTACGTCAGGCTGCAATCCCTCCACTTTTAGGGAGTGAGTCAAACAGAATCAAAAGAGAATCGAATCAAATGGAGTCAAACAGAGTCAAGTAGAGTCAAATGGAAATTGTCTTCCAACTCTGCGTTTTTCCCACAGTGTTTTCCGAGTTTCTCCAAAAAAATGATGAACCTCTCGAGGCTTTGGAGGCGCAAGGCTCTGAGCTACGGAGCCGGATCAAGGTACCCGAACCAGTATGGTAGTCATGATATGTTATGATAAGATATGATATAATTATTGTCATTATATATATATATAATATAGTGATTGTATAATGATGATCTAATGATGATATAATAATGATGATATAGTGATGATATCTATATATATATAGATATCGTTATAGTTGTAGATGCGGGTCGCATTTTCACAGATTTCGTCAGCTTTTCGGGGAGTGGTTCATGCTGATGACCATCGGTGGTGAAGTGAACTGCCACCAGCCAAGGATTTACCCAGGAATCAATCCTTCAACCATCCATCCATTACTCTGTCCATTTGAGTTTGTCTGAAAATTGTATATACCATAATATACCTCTACCATCCATAATATACCTATACCCCTAAGTGGCATCAGGGGAAAATGTTGGCTGATGAACCATTGAATTCTGGGGTACAACCCTTTTTGAGACAAACCCATCTTGGTTGATGCGCCATAGGCTTGGGTCAATTGCAGAAAATGATACAACATGTTGATGTCTAGAACTGTAATGGTAAGAAACAATGTAATGGATTTTAATATGTGACCCTTACCCCTTCTTTTTGGTTGCAACAAGTTCGCAAATTCATTTTTTTCAAGGCGTCAACCACCAGTGCTTGCAGCCTCCAGTCAGATATTGACAATTTCACCAGCAATGAAACAGAATGGTTGCTGCAACGTATGTGTACTGCAAATGATAGCAGCATTGGGGGGGACCTGATCATTTTACTTCAAGTCGTCAATGTGCTTCCCATTGTTAATTCCTACATAGTACATAATTCCCGAAGTGTTGTTGCGTAAACCAACCATTAAATCCCATGAATGACACCCATACTCGATTTATCAAGTTGTATCCCCATGACATTGTTGATGTGTTCCCATGCACATAAAGATGTATATATATATACATATATATATATACATAGTATATTTATCATATGTGTTGCATCGGCATGTATTTATTATTGCATCAGCATGTAAAAGTTTGTGTAGTTTTATAGTATCATAGTGTGGTAATGTATAATGTATGTATGGTATGATGGTGGAGGCAAGAAATTCTGCACCAGTTGGTAGATGGTTTATCACATCATTTACCGTGGTTTATAGGCATCCCTACAGTTGCCAACTGGTGCAGGATTTTGCAGCCATCCACAGTAGCTACGAAAAATGATACATTTATAGATGATGTCTTAAAATCGATGAAACATGTGAAACAAAAAATCTATCAAAGCTGCGAAAAAATGCTGGGAATTGCCATTTTTGCCATGGCTACTAGTATGGTTGTTGCTTGCTGGCCTGCTGACCTGAGAGCTGCCCAGGAGGTGGAGCGCATGGTGGCTTTGGGCCGGGCACAGGAGGTGGACTTGGTGGCCAAAAATCAGGGGCTACTGCACTGTCGGCGGCTGAAAACCATGGGGATGGGTCGAAAAATGTCGAAAATGTTGGAGTATTTCATGGAAATTGCTGATGTTCACCCTAAAGTCGCCAGGATTGATGTGAATCACCTCCCTTTTTGATGGTGTTTGAATGTTTTTGAAATCTTGACCCATTCCGACATCTGGAAAAAGAACACGTCGAACTCTCCCTTTCCTGACCCCACTTCATCCAGGTAAAAACTGGAAAAGCGAGAATTCGGTTTGGACTGAAAAAGATATGAGAAACGATGTTCAGTGCCGTTTTGCCAGTCCATGCTAGTTTGTGAGGGTGTATATAGGGCCTATGGGGGGTTGCACTGATCGGATTGATGTGCTGGTTGGGTTGGGTTGCTGTCAACGCTTCAGTCCCGGGACTGGGACTTGGTATCTGAGGTCTTGCCCTGGCCAAGCAGAAACAGGTTGCTTCACAGACGAAGGCTGATGGCAAGAGACCTCAATCGTGGACTGTCAAATCGTGTTCTTAAATGGCTGCCAAACGCCACCTGGATACCTGGGCCATAGCTGGGTTTATCTGCGATATAGTCAATGTTAGTTGAAATATATCGACCCCTGAGCCCCCACTATATGTACATATATCAGGTAGGTCCCAATAGTGGTTTAGCTTAGCTATGAGTCCCATAATCTCCAATTCATAACATCCGAACTAATGTACAGATGTTGCACCGTCTTATCTAGAAGCGTTAGATAAGTAGAGAACCGTAGGTAGAGCTAGGTAGTGTCCCTTAACCAACAATCACCGGTCAAGGGTTTAATTCGCTACGCTATCGATCCTATGGCTCAAGTGCCCCGTGGAAAAGGGAAGGGGTATCTTGGTTGATGCAGGGTTGTGGTGAATTAGGAACCCTTGTTTCTTGGGTGTCCGGTTTTCCCCCCTGTTTGTCTGGTTATCAGCCGTAAGGCTTTTGTTCGAAAGGGTTCCTAAATTCATCGCAAACTTGCTTTAGGCCCCCCGAACGTTCATTGTCACTGTCTTTGTTTTTGCATGCCCTCAGATAGTCCGGAAGGGGTCGCTGCTGATCACAGCGCGATAGTCGAAACGCCGGCAAGCGGATCCGAGGCGGCTGTAGCAGAGGAAGGTGTTGACGATTTAAATCCACCGACCTCCGCGGCAGTAGCTGAGGCATCTGCGAGCTGGGCCGACCTATCTGAGGTTACATCTGCGCCCGCGTCATCATCGGCTGGCCCATCTTTGATTCCCGTGAAGGAAGAGCAGGACGAAGTTGACAGGTATCAGATCGACGAGGCGCTCAAACTTTCCAAGGTCTTAGCAACAATTGCATACGCGGAGGAGGTCGCAGACGATCCCGTCGCGACAGGGGACACATCTTTGCCTTCTGATATTGATCTGACAATCTTTGACACTGCCGAGCCGGATAATCCAGCAGAAGCAGCTTTTGGAGACATAGATCGATCTCGCGAAGAGGCACAGGCTGAGTCCACTGAAGCTCCTCCCGCACACACTGAGGCCGAAGTAGAAACAACTGATCTTCTGGACTTAGGTGGCGAAACAACTGCAGCCGAAGCATCCGTAGTTGAAGCATCCGTTGCATCCGAACCTAATCCAGTGGTCGCAGACCCATCCGGTGTCGCGACAGAGGCCAACACATTAGATTCTTCAGAAATAGTCCCACCACCTACTAGCCCTAACTTAGTTCCCCCTGGAACTGAACCACTTAGGACTGGTCATAGCCCTGCAGGTCCTTCCCAGCCGTCTAAGCCTAGACAGCGCAGCCGTAGGGGTTGTCAGAACACCCGCAAGCAGGAAGCCTTAAGGGAGTGGTGGGGAGATTTTGAAGTGTTCCAGCGTTGGCTTTACGAGAATTCTGGAGGGAGGATTGTAGGAGGCCATTGGTTGCAGAGAATCTCATACGACGACGCTGACGAGGACCAGAGGTGGCTCATCGCCAACTTTCACTTGTTAGTTGAGAGGTTCACTACATCCAACAATTTGGTCCTTGCATTCCATATCTTCCCAAATTACCAGTCTTGGGCACAGAAGCACGGTTTAGATCGTAGGCGGGGCCCTGCACACGCACAGCAGGTTATCGACTTCGGTGATCTTCCACCCTTTCGGATCATCAACAGAGAGATCTTAGGTTGTGAAAATCCATCCGTAGCATCTTGGGATAGGTATAATAGATACGTAGGCCCATATCAACCTGCTAAAGCCAAGTCGGAGGCCGCAGCCCCAACACCCGTTGGTGGCGCGGCGGAGAGTGGTTACATAGGTGAATTGCATCCGCCCAAAGCGGGTCCAAAGCAGCCGGACCATCCTCCGCCGAGTGCATCCGCAGCAGACGATTGGAGTAATTGGCAGCCCACATTAAGGCCAGCTAGTCATCCAGTTAGACCCCCAAAAGTAACCACATCAGTCCGTGTAGTCCCAACTCTTAATAATCCAGAAACTAAGCAACTTAGTGTTAGCGGAGTCCCATTGCCACCTCCACCAAAGGCTCCGGCCGCTCCTAAGGGTGACACTGCCGCTAATAAAAGATTGTTGCCACCACCACCAACTACTAAGCCTCCAGGTCTCCCTAAGAAACCACCAAGTGTTAACTTCCCACAGTTTCCACCTCCTAGGGATCCACCTGTTGTAGCCACATCCTCATCTAGTGCAGGCGTCCCGCCATTAGCACCACCTAAGCTTCCACCACCTAGAATTCCACCGCCCCCACAACAACCTCCACCAACGCCTGAGGAGCTCGCAGCCAGCGAGCCCGCACGCGTGGCGCGAGAAGATCCCGGAGAGCCTCCCGAGGACCCAGATCCTCCAGGTGATCCAGATCAGGAAGGGGCAGAGGAAGGGGTTGCGGAAGACTTAGAGGAGGAGGAGCGTCCAGAAGAGGACGAGGTAGTTGAAGTTGAAGCGGAAGAGGAGACAGAGGAGATAGAGGTAGAAGAGGAAGGAGAGCCAGTAGAACCTGAATTTCCTGATTTTTCGCCTAGGGATAGAAACCCCAAAAGAGCACACTCAAACCCACCAATTCCTGTTAATCTAGTCCCCAGACAGGTTCGTGAACGTCTTGAGATCAGCCAGAATATCTTTCGAGCTCGCCAAGAAATTGGACTTGCGAGAAGACCGGTTGCCCTTAGACCTGCCGTACCCGTCTATCCAGAGACACGCACCGATCCTACAGGAACCTGGGTTAGAGTTGCGGGGCCCCCTATACCTCATCACACCCCTAATACAGTCCCATACATAGTCCCATCTAACGCAGCTGCAGTTCCATTTGCTGACATCGACCCTTATCAACTACCAGATAGTTATTGGCGAGATCCGTCACTTAGAGGACAGCATACTGTGTTAGCGACTCCAAACCTAGATCCAACCGACATAGTTAGTGTGACTCTTGACGAGCCTGACACTCAATCGGAGGGTGAAGAGGATCCAACTCACTTTGCCCGAAGGATCTTGGCCGAGGACGCCATCGCCACAGCCCACGAAGCCAAACGTGGACCCGTGGAAGCCGGATTCTCTGAACGCAGACCGCCGAAGCCTCCTTCGGCACCACCGCCTAAAAGGCAGCGTGTCAAATTCTCTACGATAGATCGAACTGCTCCTGCAGCGCCCGCTGCACCAGTAGAGCCTGCGGCAACAGAACTTCCTAAGGCGGCATCGATTCCTCCCTGGCGTCAGCCGGTAGGACCGCCACCAAAGGTTTCTGAGGTCGCTGCGTCTCGCGCGACGAGCCCAAGATCTAGGACTAGAGCTTTGTCTGAAAGACCGGCATCTCCTCAACGTGCACCGCCCAATAGGCCATCTAGGGGTAGGGCTTCTAATAAAATAGATACCCCACCATCTAACCCTCCTAAGAGATCATCCACCGTTCCAGTGCCCATTAGGGGAAGAAGTGTTGCAGCCGCACCCGTAGTTGTTCCGCCCCGTCCCTTAAGCACAGGTGTCCCGGAGCCTGCAGTAGGACCCAAAGTCTCTGACAGGGGCATTCTATATAAGGACCCTCCATCCACGCCTGGTGGAACTCCTATTAGACCGCCATCCGCACCTCCTGGTGGAGTCCAAGTTAGACCGGTACCCCCAAGACCAACTAGGCCTGTTCCAAGGTTAAGTGCACCACCGCCTGTTAGGGAATTCTTGTCAAAGCCGCGACCAGCCTTTGTACAAAGAGCTCCTGACGACAACACCGATTTACCACCTTTAGACCCCATCATACAACAGGGAGGGGCCGCTGACGCTAGCGTCGCGGCGGGGGCATCCAGCACATCGAGTGGCCTTGCGCCGCCGTTGCCACGTGATCCACCTCCGGTTCCGACTCCCATCCCAGAAGAATTTTCTAGCCGCCGTCCAGCTCACCACGGCCCACCGTTGCAGCAGCCACAGCTGGTGTCCCGCGTCATCGAGATCAACACCTCGAACATCAGGGTCTGTGTCGATTGGCACGATACCCTTGATCAGGCGTTGAACGCCGTAGGACGCTTAAACGAAGCTGTAGTTGATCGCTTCAGGGCCTTAGTCCGTGCTGCCGATAATAGAATAGAGTTCCATATTGTCTCCTACGCAGGTCAAGAACGTATCAAGGCCACCACTGATAGTGCCCATAACTTGATAGGTTTCCTGCGCTCCCACGGAATCCCATTTACCGACTTTCATCTAGCGCAGTACCCCTGCGGAAAACAAGGTAAATCTTCCATCGTCGCCGCACTCCAGGCCCATTGTCTCATAGACGATAGGGGGGACATTCTTAACGAAGCCGCCAGGACCGGGTGTAAGACAATTCAAAGTGGGGGAAAGCCAGACAAGGAGCTCCATTGGACAGCAGCCGTTGAGGACTGGTTGAACTTCGAGACGGTCGAGGGGATCTTGGCAAACCGCCGGGCTAAGCCTCTTAAGCCTAGTCAGTTCTACGGTAATTGGGGTAATAAAGGGGAAAAGCATAGGTATTAAGTGATCCAAAAGTAGGCACTGGCACAAGTCTGGTGACCCTACGCATCCGATCCAGTCACATCCGCAGTTTTAGGTCGCTGAGCTTGCTCGCGACGCGTTTAGGATCGTCTTTGTCTTTTCGTCGTGTCTTGTAGCTGCGTGCCGCATTACACCGCATTCGTTAATTCATCTTTCCAATTTTGCACTTTGTAATTCGAAATCCAACTTGCGAAGTCATTGTTGGTAGTTTTACATTGTGCCGCCTTCGGTCGTCTTTGTCTCGTCTAGTCTTTTGCCTGGGGCGCTGAGCTTAGCTCGCGCGGATCGTGTTGCGGTTGTCTGCAAAAGTTCAGCCGAGGTTTGGGAGGATGTCCGGGTTTTCACCACCTGATGAACCTAGTTCCAACAGTAGGTCTAGGAGTAGCCCCGAAGATATCCATCATAACCCAAACACAACTAGGGTCCCTGCAGTATCTACTGTCCTGGTTCCACGAAGAATCCAGTTGCCTTCTTCTAGGGATGCCATACGTGTTG